AAAAAAAAAAAAAAAAAAAAAAAAGAAAAAAAAAAAGAACACCTTCCTAGCCCAGGTTAAAGATGCCCAAGATGTGAGCACACATTCCATGTCCTCTGGAAATTCACACCTGCTCCCATTCCACCCTTGAGCAACCCTTCATTCTTATTTCTATCATCACAGACTGATTCCATCTTCTCTAATTTTTTTTATAAGTGGAACCATACAGCATGTACTCTTTTCTGTCTGGTTTCTTTTCACTAAGTTTAACTGCCCATTCATGTTGTATATATCAAGAGTTCATTTCAACTGACCTTGTCAGATACAAAAGACTTTGTTATATAGGTCTTGCTTTATCTTGGTCTTAACCATCCAGCAGAAAAGTATAAAAATGAAGTATAAAAAATAAAGCTGTATTAATATCCTGAGCTGTAAAAGGCTCAAGTCAGCAACTTCTGACATTGCCAGTCCTATGGATAATTCACTATTATTATGGACTACTGGACTATATTGGAATATTTTGCTGAATTCACCCACCTACAATATTTAAATGACAATGGAATACCCTTCTCTGACAAAACTAAACAAAAAAAGGGGATACAAATGAACGACCATTTTCTATCTGTATATTCAAAATAGGACAGAGATACAGTCACTATCTCTTAATTCAATGAATAGAAAGATTTGTTCTAACAGTGTTTGTGGACAGGATATAATGTTTGCATCCTGTACTATGAATAATCACTAAGAAGATAACAACATGTAATGTATTAATTATTGAAACTGTCCTACTAAATCTGTTTTCAAATGGTTTCATTGCTATTTGTTTCTCAATAAAATTATTTTTTTTAAAGACTATGATATTTGGAGAAAATTTTCTAAAATTATATACCGACCTACTTTCTGTCACTCCAAAAGTGAATTTATATAATTATATTCACGTGAGTATATATGCAATCTGTTGTATATCAGTAAGTCACAAGTAAATCTATTTATAGTGTATTATTCCAAATGCTAAAAATACTTTTTGCCATGCCAATAAAAAGAGTGATCAGTTTTAAAAAAAAAAAAAAGTTTGTTTCTTTTCATAGCTGAGTACTATTCCACTATGTAAATGGAATGTGACAACTGTATCTCCTAGCACTGAGGCACTCCCTAGAAGCACAGAAGTTACTGTCTCTGAGTTCTTTTTCTGTCACTTACAAATCTGCTAGGGTTTCTGTTTCTCCTGCCTCCGCCAGTATTTTTTCTAAAAGAGTGTAAGGTGGAGTGGAGCGAGGTGGGGTGGGGTGGGGCGGAGTGCAGTAGCAGGGTTCACAAGCTTGCCCAATATGTTGAATAGGAAGTGTGACCATATGGGGTAAACTTAATTGGTCTCTGACATCAGAATAGCACAAACACACACACACACACACACACACACACACACACACACAGAGAAGACCTAGAAGAGACAGTTTATCTTCACAAGCCTGACAGCTGTGGTCTTTCACTGAATAGCAAAGATTAATTTCTCAGATTGAGAACTGTTCTTTACCTTGTAAGATACATGAGTGGGTTAAATAAAATTTACAGGCCACTGTTTTGGATTAGGCTCCCACACAGGGCCTCAAAAGACCAGGCAAAAAGTCCTCGTGGCATCACTCCTGCCAATGCTCCTTGTCACTAAACTGAAACTAAGCTGTTGGTCTAACCTCCAAAGAAACCGAGAGCAATAAGGTCACAGCCAAATTTCTCAAACTACTCATTGCAATTGACATTATTATGTAGTTCCCTCTGCCTTAATTCTTCCACAGAAAGTTAACTTGAATTAACTTCATGTTGACCGATCAGCTGTTTTTCTACCCTTCTGCCTCCCTATCCTTCCCTTACAAGGAAAGTAACTGTAAAATGACCAGCCTACTCTGTGTTCTCTGTTTCTGCTTTCATCAGCCTTTCTCTGTCTTAAAACCAACCTCTTTCGCTTAGCTCATCAGAAAAATCAACTCTGTTTTTCTGGAATGAAGTGTTGCCCAGTTCTAAAATCAAAAATCAAGCTAATTAAGATACTTAAACTGAACCATCCTTATTTTGTGCTTTCACAAGAATAAGCATCCAAACATTAGTGATCTGACCTCATTAATGTCTAACTGTTTCAGATTTAATGGCTACAAGCCAGCTTCCACTTTCAAAGTTTAGATAAGTTGTCATGTGGAAATGCTGGGGAAAGGAATCTATCAAGGATCATCAAACAGAAGCAGAGAAAAGAACAGATAACATCAGATTTTATTCCAAGGATGACCATGCCATATGAGGAAAAATCTACAAAGATTATCTGTTCAACTAGGGGTTTTAAAAAAAAAGGTAAGTCTCGCTGGCTACTACTTAAGTAAAAAGTTACATCCATGATAAACATGCAAAAAAAAAAAAGTGCTTAAAAATCTGAAAGAAATAAAAAGAATAACCAGGAAGCCTAAAAAGGCTTTCCTGGGCTGGGTTTGGAAGAGGTTGTAGGAGATACAGCTAAGAGAAAAGGAGCAAGGCAGAAAAGCAGCAGGTGGCAAGGCCCTGTGGTCAGGGAGTTTTAGAGAGGCAGATGGTAGCCGGTGTGACTGGAAGCCCAGACTGAGGAAAAATGAAATGAGAAAGGGGTGAGGAAGGACAGGGGCCAGACATGGAGGGTTCTGGCCTGTATCCTGAGAGTAGCAAAAAGTAACAAAGGGTTTCAAGCACATGAAGGGACAGGATCAGCCTTGGGCTGCTCCAGACCTGCTGAGGGTGCCCCCTTCAGACAGTGGTATGCAGAGACATTCTTGCACTACACATGGATGGAGCAAGTCCACTCACAATTCTAGGCCTGAGGCTGAAGAACAGTGAGGACTTCTAAAGAAAAAACATATCCAAAACCAAAAGGGACAGAATACAGGCAGAAAGAGTGGAGTAAAACCATGTTAAGCAAAATAAAAACAAATCAAAAACCCCCCACTTTCTATGTTAAGTCTGGCTCCAGCTCCTTGGAGTGCTTTGTACAAATGTGTATGCAAACACTGCCTGCGACTCCCCACACAAACCTACAGAACACGATTTCCAGAGAGCCAGTCCTTCTAGATCCACTATCTCAAAGTGGAGGCACCAGAGTGACATGGTAAGGAGCACACAACTTCAGGAGAACAGTCTGATGCCACTGTGACAGGCTTAGCACTACTCTGCCACTCAGCTCATCACTCTGACCCCAAGTCCCAGCTTTCTAAAGGGAGAAAAACTGGTCAAATATGGTAATGTGGGGTTAAGAAAAAACTGTAGAAAATTATAAAAGATAATATAATTATAAGGAATTATTATCAGGAAAATGAATTACAGCAATACAGTCCTAAGATAGCACCCATGACCATCAGAGTCACTCCCAAAAAGCTGCTCTGTGCTAACTTATAAAAAGCTCCTACACTGGGCCAGCCTGATAGCACAGTGGACAAAGCGCCTGCTTAGGCAGAGTGCAGCAGCCAGGGTTCCATCCCCAGCACGCCTTGCCAGCCCCACCCATGGAACATGTGGAGATGGCAATTGAGACTGGGCACGATGGTGTGGCCTATAATCCTTGGGAGGCTGAAAAGAGGAGAATCACTATGAGTCCATTTATATAGTGAGACCCTGTAGACCCTGTACTAATACAGGAAAGAAAAAAAAAAAAAAAAAAAAAAAAAAGCTCCTACACCACAATGAGGTGTTCACAAGGATCTCTCCAAGTCTTAGGAGTCCGACACACTACCAGAACAGTTTCGGCACTTTTCTTTGACGTAAGATACAGCAAAAGTAAAGAAGATATAAGAGAGTTCTTCATTAGAGATTTGGGAAAGTGAAAAAAGTCCCAAAACAGACTACAGGAGAGAATAATTAAGTGAAGCTGATTTCTAGAAAGACTAAGAGTTAGAAAAGGACTTGACTCCCTCTGAGGAAAACAGGACTGTCTTGATGTCCATTTCACGAAAACCAGGGATTCTTAATAACACAGATCTATGATATTCTTTCTAAGTCTGCAGTTTCACTATGTTATATTTTAACATGCCTGTTTCCTGAGATTATTTATATGCTAACACACTCCTGCCAAGAAACAATAAAAGGGCTTTGTTATTGCTTACACATGGGGAAGGAACAGAGATGCTGATAATCTTCTCTATTGTGGCTGAAATAAAAAGCAAGCCAGGAAGAAAAACTGGAAATGGAAGAAGACAAAGGGCGTGGCGTGGCCAAGCAGCTACAGGAACCACAGCAGCACCTAACATCACTTACAGGGAAGGCCGGGGATCAAAGCCAGCGCTCTCTACCTTGACACACTTAACAGCGCACATACACAAACCCAACGTGTTGCACAAAAATGTATTACAGAGAGGGCCAAAGGTAGAGTGTTTATAGGGTAGTAATTCAGCAACTGGTAGGTAAAACTGAAAAATTATTTAAAGACATAACCAGAGAAATCATTCAAAATGTTGTCCAGATATTCAAAGATATGAAAAGCATAAGGCCCAGAGGTATGGCTCAATGACTTGAGTGTTTGCCCAGCAGGCACAAGGTCCTGAGTTCAATCACCAGAACACTTAAGAAAATAGAAAAATATAAATATCCTTATTTTAAAAACATTTAAACATCCATAGGTGGAGACAATAAAAAGAGTGAAAAGAGAGGTAAACTTCAAAATGATAAATAGTAAGAATTTTCCAGAGATACTGAAAGAGACAAAACCTCATAGCCAAAACACCAAAAATTTCTAAGCAATAAATTTAAAAATTTCAAGCCTAGGACAGTCATTGAAATGTGGACTACTAAAGGATTGGAGGAGGAAGGCAGCAAAAAAGGCAGAAAGAAAACATAGATCACTTCCACAGGAAATACATTTGCCTGCTGAGAGTAGAGACTGTCTAGTAGGACACAAATTGGTAGCTCTGTGCAAGAAAAGAATTTTAAAGAACCGAAGGAGCTGCCTTACAGCAGGGAGAACAGGGAGACCGACATGGCCTGTCTCATCCAAGGATGGCCACAGAAATCTTCCATCCCTCATGCTCTTCAGACAAGAAGACTCTGATATTCCCCTCAGGGAGAGACAAAGTCTATGTTCGGTCCCAATGGAACTGCATGAGCTTTTGTGATCATTTCAACCAACAAACGGGTCAAAAGAAAGGCTTATGACTTCTGAGACTGTTATTAAAAAGCAGTACCTGCTTTTAGTACCAGAACATTCACTACTGAAACCCCTGAGTACCCAAAGCCACTCTGCATCAAGATGTTGTAAACTAGCCCTAACTAGCCCAACCATATGGACAAGCCAAGACCATACAGGGAAAGAGGTTGGGAAAGAGAAGAAGGATACCAGGAAAGGGAGAGAGCCATATCTGGCCAGTGCTGAATTGCTTCAGGCCTGCAATGTTCTTGCTTTATCATCTGACTGGAACTCATGAGGAACCCTAAAGTTGTACCGTCCATCGAAATGCTTCAAAATTTCTGACCTACAAAAACCAGGGAATACTACAATGACTACAGAATGTGCTTTTAAAAATAGCTAAGTTTGGGGCCAACTTATTACATGGCAGTAGAGAACTGGAACATCTAAACTGCCAACTGGCAGCTCTCCAGAGACTGCGTGAGAGTGGCATGAGTCAGTTCCACAGAATGAGGTCATCCAAGACTTTTTGGCATCTACAAACAGTTGACATACTTGGTAAACGTTAAGAATCTTCCTTAATTGTAGTTCATACTGTATCTTAAAGCTAAGAATAATTATCTTGTTTTAGACATCTTTAGTGTACAACTCCTGGAATGACTATTTAAAATTAAGAGAATTACAATGACATGTTGGAGGTATTACTGTCTACATGCATTACAACCATTATCTATTAACCAAGCAAATCAAGCATGAAATTTAAAAAATGAACTTACCCCCTTTCCTCCTGACTTTTGGTCAAATGGTACCATGGTGATTTGTTTGGAATCTCGCTGGTATGTACAGTAGTGCTTCACCCAAGAAGTCCCAAAGTGGCCTGCAAGGCAATATTTCCCATTAAGCATCTAGGTACACAGATCCACTGTAAGCTGCACATAAGTAACTGTAGAAACACACAGCTCATAATGATCATTCACCCATACACAGGTTTTAGACACAATATATTCTCCACATCAGCTAGACAGAGACAGACAGAAATCTGACCCCACAAGCTGGAAAGGCAACCAACTCCAGGCTTTCACCCAGAGACCCATGAACACTATTCCCACCAATGCTACATCCAGTAGGTCTTAAGATATAAGGGAAGTAGAAGTTCCTGGGGAAGCTACTTCATATTCCCATCATCAGTCTCCATTTGAGGTTTCCGTTCTTTTCTGACAGGAAAAAGACGGCTGAGGAAAGAACACAGAAAGGCTTCTCCAAGTGCCTGTCGCCACTCTCATCTGAGGCAATGACATCACGCTTCCCACACAGCTGCTTGGAGACTCTGACATCAGGGATTCTGATCTACTTCCAAATCCCTAATTTTTACTTTAGCAGAAGTCAGAAAGTGTCTAAATAGAAGACACCAGAGATGTAGAATAGAAGTTAACTGTAAAAGCCCAAAGGCAGTCTAAGAGTCTTTCTCAAAACCATACTCAGAATTAAGAGAGACCACAGAGTCAAGCTCTAACAAAGTCTCTGATTTTACTCACCGTGTTTAGTAATTATTAATGGTATGGTATTGTCAGGTTTTCAAGGGCACAGATTTAACGCAGAATATGTAATTTACAGGATTTTATAATACTCACCTAAAGGTCAAATGCAGAAGCATGCAAAAGGTGTGACAAACTAGAGATCCAAAGAACCCCGGTGAGGGCCTGGATCTCATGTCCTCCATGAGTCCAGCTGGAGGCCTTGAGCCCACAACAATGTCTCATGCAAGTCTGTATCAAGGATCTGGCTGGAGAGATAGCTCAGCAGCCTAAGGCCTGCCGGACAAGCCCCAGGATCCAGCTTTGAGCCCCAGTACTACATGCCATGCCAGCCCCATGCTGAGCCAACCACTGAAACTGGGCGTGGTGGCACAAGCGTGTAATCCCAGCGCTGAGGAAGCTGAGACAGGAGGATCATTACGAGCCAAAGCTGCATAGAGACACCCTGCACTAAATAAATCAATCTATCTATCAATCTATCTATCTATCTATCTATCTATCTATCTATGTATCTTTTAAAAAAAGAATCTGCACTATCTATCTATCCATCCATCTATCCATCCATCTATCTATCTATCTGTCTATCTTTCTTTCTTTCTTTCTTTCTTTCTTTCTTTCTTTCTTTCTTTCTTTCTTTCTTTCTTTTAAAAAAAGAATCTGCACTGGGAAGTCCCAAGGGCCAGTGGTGGAAACCTGAATGTCTGAGCCAATGGGATGGAGGATCTGAGCCAAGAGGATGAGGGATCTGCACTGAAGCAATTCTCAAGAGAAGGACCAGAGCCGCCCCCAACCCCCGCAAAGAGAACTGCAGCCATCCTCAGCAATAACGAGGATCTGAGCTCTTCCAACAATGAGAACAACTGAGTTACTACCAAGAAGGCCATCGCAAACAAGCTTCTGCAGGAGAATCAATAGCATACCTTAATCTTTCCCTCCAGTTTGCTTGGTATGCTACTGGCAACAATCCCTTCCACACTCTGAACCATGCTGATTCAGTTCAGCTGGGTATTACAGACTGATCATAATTCCACCCATTTGGCAAGACTGCCAATGACAAGCATCTAATTAAGTTTAAAAAGCAACACACAAGGGTGTACGTTGGAGCATCAAGGACAAATGAAAACAGCAACCATCAAAGTATATTCTTGTACTTTAGGGGAAAAGTTTACAAAGATTCCAAAAGTGCTTTATTTTGGACAATATGAGCATCAAGACAAAATATGAACCTGTAAGCTCATATTGACAATATAAAGACAGAAATGTGGACAGATGTCAGACAGGAAGGAAAGGAAGGAGTAAGAGGTGGAAGAACACTTTTACACTACAATGAAAGGCAACTATGAATGTGTTGGGAGTGGTGGGACCAGAAAACCCACTTTGCAACCATCATAATAAAGAACAACTTAGGCCAGGATCATCAACGAGCACTTAATCTATGGAGCACAGACGGTCAAGGAGAAGGGTATTTGGGCGATCTTAAAGTGCCTCCCAGGGCCAGCCAGATCGCTCAGCTGATTTAAGTGCCTGCTTAGGCAGACACAGGCACCAGGGTTTGATTCCTGGTTTGCCATACCGGACCCACCTCTGGGGCACACTGAGACAGTGACTGAGAATGTGTGTGGTGGTGCTTACCTATAATCCCAGCTCTTGGGAGGCTGAAAACAAGAGAATCACTACAAGTCGAATCTGGGTAATGAGACCCTGTAGACTCTGTACTAAATTCATTAAAAAAATAATTAATAAATAAATAAAAATAAAAGTGCCTCCCACAGACTCCTAGTGGGTTACAAAGGGAAAGCAGTGACTGTACAGTAGAAAAACAAGAAAAACACCTTGCCTGGGTGATCAAAATGAATACCACCATCAAGAACAGATGGGGCCCAAAGAAGAGCAGAGAGCTACTTATGTAGGAGTGAACCAGTGATACATAACCCAAATCTAATCATGAGGAAACATCAGACAAATCAATGCAGAGGCAACTTCTATAAGGGAACTGGACCATGTTCTTCCAAATGTCAATAAGAGAGACAAAGGCTGAGAAACTGTCTCAGGACAAAAGTGATGACAATTAACTATGGAGTGAGTCTGTATTAGAGGAAACGAAATGCTTTTTAGGTGCATTACTGGGACAACTAAAAAAACTGAAGTACAGAGTACAGTTTAAATACTGAAAAAAATGTCCTGGGTGTGATTACTTAAAAGAATATCCTTATTCTTAGAAAATACTCACTGAAATAAAGAGCATGGTATGCCAACCTATTTTTTTTTTTCAAATTTTTTCTTTAACATGTTTTTTTTTTTTTTTTTTTTTTGGTGGAACTGGGGATTGAACTCAGGCCCTTGTGCTTGCCAGGGAAGTGCTTATTCCACTGAACCATCTCCCGGCCCCCTAATCATTCTTTTTTTTTTTTTTTTTTCTTTTTCTTTTTGTGGCAGAACCAGGATTGAACTCAGGTCCTTGCGCTTGCCAGGCAAGTGCTTATTCCACTGAGCCATCTCCCTAGTCCCAAGCTGCCAACCTATTCTTGAACATTCTGAAAAGAAGTATGTATAAGAAGGTGATATGCATTTATACACCTATACAGAACAAATACAAAAAATTGTGGGAAATGCTAAACATTGGTGAATTTGGGTAAAGTCATTTATGATATTCTTTCAGTTGAAGAAACTTGAACTTTTCTACTATCAGTAAGTTCAAAACAACAAAAAAAGCTGCATGTTACAGAACCACAAAGTGGTTCCAATGATAATAAACGTGATGTGAAAAGAGCATTTTGGAACAAGGCTGTACAAGGTGAAAGAATCCAATACTGATTTTATACATGTAAGTGAATAATATTAATACATTAAAGAGCCAGCAAGATAGCTCAGCAGACTAAGCACCTGCTAGGCAAGTGCACGGACCAGGGTTCGAGCCTGAGCACCACATGCTGTGCTGGCCCCACCCCAGGTGCCCTGAGCCAGGCTGAGACCAGGTACGGTGGCACATGCCTGTAATACCAGTGCTGGTGAGGCTGAAAACAGAAGGATCACGTGTCCAAGCTGCACAGCGAGACCCTATTCCAAATACACAAAATAATAATAATAAATTAAACATAGTGAACATTAAGCTACACTTTCAGTCCTGAAAATTTGTACTTTCAAGTTGATCTCAAACCTTTTGATGGGAGGTTCCCAGGGGGCAAAAAGGGGATCACTTTGTATTCAGAGAAAGAAATATCCAGAACAGGTTTTTCTCACAAACCTCCACAAGCTCACCCCTGTAAGAATAAGGGACATAAAACATAGCCAATTCCCCAAGCTCACTAGGGCCCCATTTCCATAGGGAACAATGTTAAGCCTAAGCAGCTTTATGGGTGATAGCTAAGTAAAATAATCACTGAAACCAAGTTTCTATTCTATTCCATCAGAACACTTTTAGAAGCAAAGGTATCTGCCTAAGAAGAGGACCCCAAAGAATGCAAAACCAGCCAAAACCTGCCTGGAGGAGACAGAATGACATTTACTACTAAGAAAGCTTGGCAGGAGGCTCTGAGCTACTCATTAGAAAACATTCAATTTCTGGTTTGCACGCATAAATTCAACCTGGAAGTGCTGCCCTTGAGCACAGCTCCATCACAAAGCTTTTCTGTAGCCCTAAGCCATGAACGTGAGTTACCACTAAACATTCTACCTTAGCAGCACCTCCTTCTCTGACATCATTACCACCAGGGCAATGGGTCTTTTTGCTTAGGTGACCTTTGGCTTCTACTTTTCATAAATTTAAATATTGGAATGAAAAAGTTAAAAAGAAAAGGGAAAAAGGCATAAGTCATGTCTCCTCTCAGGTGAAAACAGCACCACCAAATAAAGCCTGCCAAAGAATATGACTGCTGAATAGACAAGATCCAGCATGCAGAACTATCCACTGCGCTAGGATCAGGGCAGCTACTACACTAAGGGGAGAGAATGCTCAAGAGTAGAGTGATGCCAGGGGGTGAACAGCATCCACCAAGCATCAGGGGTTCCCAGGTTCCCAGGGGAATTCTCAGCCACAAGAATATGAAAAAGAAAAGAATATGTCCCTTAGAGGCAGCAAAACTCTGTGGACAACACCTTTCCCATTCAAAACTACAAATGACTTACTCACCCAAGAATGCACGCACAGCAGGCCAAGCACTCCTAAGGACACTTTCCACCCTCCAGACAGGGACTGAGGGCCTGAGCATGTCCCAGCTGCTGCTACACAAAACACTTACGCTTCTCCTGAACATAGAGGTACCCTTCCATGGTGTAAGGGCTGATGGTCTTGTGCTCCAGGGGGTTCTCCTTCATCTTCTTCATCAGGGATTCCACCTCTGACCTGGTGCCTTCGAAGCGGTTTCTGGTCTAGGATGAACAGAGCTTTACTCAAAGCAAAGAAATGTTTGAAACCTCTGTCTAACCTAATAAAATCCTTACATGTAAAACTGGATCAGGAACATTTAACTCTCTAGGAATTGAGTCAATATTCACTTTAAAAAAGCACACTTTGGTCTTAGAATCATAAACCTGCATCACTTTCAAACTCTAGTCATCACCAAAATCACCTACAGAACTTACAAAAATTGCCAATGCCAGGCCTTGCTTCTAGAGATTAATTTAGAACCTTTGGGCCTAAAAAGATGTACTTTAAATAAGCATCCCAGGTGATTCTGACCCAGATGGTCCAAGGGCCTTAACGCCTACAGAACTGGCACATTTACTTCTGCAGCTTCAAGGAGCGATGCTCACTGACAGCTCACAGATGTGCCCCTCCTCAAAGGTGAGCTGCTGCGCTCACAGCCCCCTCCTACCCAGGGCAGCCTAGGCTCCTTTCTGAAAGCCTGCCCAGCCCCTCGCTCTCACATCACTGAGGCACTGGCACCACAGCTCAACCCCTGCCATGCTCCATGCTCACTGTCTCCAAGGGGTCTGGGCTGGAATCACCCCCCCACACACACACACACACACACACAAAGAATAAAGCTATTGCATGCAAATCTCCATTTCAGAGATGGTTTTTGAAAGAAGCCTGCCTAAGCAAAGAGTCATGCTGTCACAGAACAATTTCTGAGACTGCAACTTCCTCTCCTATGGAATGACAGAATCACTCACACTTTAAACACCTACAGGCCATGCAATACAACCCACACAGAAACACCTGGCTCCTCCTTTTACGAGGGCACCCAGAGAAAACATGAAGGCCAACATGGTCCACCATACACTGAAGGTGGTGACTGCAGCTCAGGTAAGCACTGAGCACACCTAAAATGAATCATGCTTATCAAAAGCTCGGGTCTTTAAAACTTGGGAGAGAATGCCTGAAGCGAAGTCCACTGACCTGGACTTCCTGTCACCCTTCCTAAGCACTGGACAAAAGCGCATCCTCCATGCCAAAGGGCAGCGTGTGTCCTCACTCTCATTCTAAGGCCTCCTGTAGCCAGGTGGCCAGATGCATAGAAGTGAGGTTGGGCAATGGGGCGTTGTCCACAGCCAAAAGAAATCCTGACTGGTGAACAGATTTAGAACATAACTAGCAGCAGCACTCCCTAGAACATAAGCAGTGCTTTGAAATAATGAAGAAAAGGAGTCTGAACCACATGATGGTTGACCTACAACACACTCCTGAAACGCCCACCCCCAGCTGCCCTCTGAACCCGAGGAAGACCCAGCCTCCATGCCTACATTCCAGTCCACACTGGTGGGATCTCTGGCAGCCAGACCCAGATTTTGCTTTTCCCTTCCCTCAACACCAGAATGAAAGCCTGTCCCTAGGCCTACTCACATTCTGTATGCTAATGGTCAGCTGTGTCTTGAAGTCACCAAAATCCTTGGCCAGTTCATAACCATGGTGATAGAAGGTGAAGAGTCCTTGCAGGAAGGCCAGTAGCTGTCATAAAGAAAGAAAAACAGAGGTCCTAAGTCCTGGGTGAAAGAAAGACGGCATAGCTGTATCTGAGTCCCCAGTGCTGATATGCACGTCTACAGCAGAGCAGTAATAATGGCTAGCATTTACTGAGCCCCAAACGTGTGCCAAGCACCTGCCTTTCCATGCCTTGTCTTACTGAATACTTGCAACAACTATGCACTACATATTGTTATTTAATAATGAAGACGTAGATTCAGAGAGGTTAAAGGAACTTGTCCCAAAACACACAGGAAGAAGCCAAGATTTGAAACTAGGTCTCACGGACAGCAATGCCCATGTACTTCGTCTGTGAGCCTCATTATTCCTTAATTAACATCATTTCTGCAAAAACTAAAGATCAGGGCTCAAACTTAGTTTCTTGCAAGTACATCTGCACTATAACATTGTCACACAAAAGAACTACAGCAAAAAGGGAAGGTGGTGGATTCAGAGCCTGTAGCCTACCGAGCAAAGCAAAATTAAAGAAAACCATCCACATGAGCCTTGAGGTACATTTTTGAGCTTTCCTTAAACTATTCAAAAGTGAACGCTGTGGATTCCTTTATTAACATACTGCCTCCCCCATTGTGATGGTTTCCAGGAGTTCGTATTTCAATTCATTTGGGGCTAACAGGTAAGTTCATTCGTTGTTCAGTGTTGTCCCTCGGGAATACTGAAAACATCTGCTCACCACAGTTCTTCTAACATGCCTCCATATTCCCAAACACTGTCCCCACCCAAGCCCCTGCCACCCTTCACTTCTCCAAAATAAATAAACGTTCCTGCAGCCTTTCCTTTCAGAGCCTACACCCAGGTCTTGCTGTTGCTATGCTTTCCTGGCCCCTTCCAGAGTCCTGCACATTGTGCTTCAGTTCTGAATTTTCATGAGAAAAAGGCAAAACACAGTAGAAAAGGATCAGAGCCCCACGTCTGTCACAGTTCAGCTCCCCCATGTGAATACCATCCCATTCTTCAGCTTCTGAAGGCCAACTCACATTTCCTGAGCAGTTGACCCTGACCTCCCTGAATTGCCTGTACCACATGCTATCCTAAGACACATTTGCTTGGCATTATATTATTGTATTCGGTTTTCAGTCACTACATGAATGCATCTTTCCTTGTTAAACATAATTCCATCCCACTTTTCTCCTAACCCCCCTTTTTGAGAGGCAGTTCTAATAACGGATAAGGGGTCTCATCTCACTCTTCACTCCCCCCCTTTCCACCTGCTGTGTGGCAAGTCTGGTAAGCACTAACCAGGTACAACCCAGAGGGGGGGCCTGCCTTCAAGGTAAGCCCCAGGGCCAGCCCAGTTTATCAAAGAGCTATGCAAAACCCAATTATAACTATGTGGTACCTTCCTTCCCACTGCCACTATCCCCAGTATATCTATGCTCTTAGTCCTCATGGGAGGTGATGAGCAGGCACTGCTGGATCATCTGGGTATAAAGCCACCTAGTGTCATCATATACATCCCTGGCATAATCATGAATGAGGTGTTATGGTTTGTGTCTACCTATCCTCTCCAAAGCCTCATGCAGTCAAGGGGTAGACTTCTAGAGTTCATGATTAATTCATGATCTGATGTTAGGATTATGGGTGTGAGTGCTATTCCTGCCCTGAGGTGGGCAGCTTGCATACAGTATAATGGAAAAAGGCTCCTGTATGTCCACGTTTTCTGACTCTGTCTGTCTCCCTCTCTCCCTCCCACCATTTTACTCAGATTATTTTTACTGTCTACTGCCACAGGAACTGCTGCCCCTCAGCCATGCCACTCTGCCTTGCAGCCAGCTGATAATGGACTGAAACCTCCACAAACTGGGAGCTAAAACCACAGGGACTCATTGGTCTCTTAGTGTACCATGGGTAGAAACAGTGGCAGGAATGAGGAAAAGACAGACAAGTAACCAGAGCTGAGCCTGGTGGTGGCCTGTTTGCCTGATTGGCAAAGGACCCAAAGAAATAATAGAGGGCATTTATTTATACCTTTGCAAAGAAGTCAGAAATTCTATAAGGATAACATGAACAGTATCATGAGACACAAGGTTCCCTAGGGACTAACAGCCAAAACTGTCCAGGCAGGATGCTTTTTTCAAGATCAAGGTAGCTTGACCACTTTGGCCACAGTGGCCTTGTCCGGCCCGCACATATATGATCAATTTCTAGTTTCAGCAGCTCCCAACGATAACAACAAAAAAGCCTGTCCTTCCTTAATTTGGGGTATTGGGTATTTTGCCTCAGCAACAAGAGAAAAGTAACCAAGACAGAGTGGGAAGCCACACTTATCTGCCAAGGTTAATAGTCAAATATTTTTTTCAAAGATGACGATGACCCAAGCCTTTGGAATGTCCTACACAAAATACTTTTCTGAGAGTAGGGCCCATGCCTTTCCTTCCAGGTGGTTCCAGGATTAGAGAAGAGAATCTTCTACCAAACCTAGCTCTGGAATTCACAACGAAAATTGCTCTTTTGCTCTTCTCATCTCTGCCCTCCCTACAGGCTGTAAACGCTGTTTTATTCCATGACTTTCCAAAACACTGGTCTGCCTCACTAGTTGAGGATAATGCAGAAAATAACAGCTAAACTCTAATCTTATTTGTCTTATAAACTCTGGTTTTTCTTCTCTTAAAATTTTCCTTAAGGCTTTCCTTCTCTTCTCTTATTTCAAACAGCTCGCTAAAATGCTTCCTGGGCATATACGCAAATGCTCCAGAGGCAGACAGTAACTAATATATATTCTGGTTACTTCCTTTGGTCTTGTGCCTTGATTGTCCATTTTTCTACACAAAATGATTCCTTAAATAAGTATTATTTTTGGCCTACTTTCTCCTCTCGTGGCATCCTTTCTCCCCTCCCCATTATCCTCATCCCCTCCCCCATACTGCATGAACTCCTGAACCTGTGACCCAACAGGAAATAAAAGTCCATGCCTTGGGGGGCAGGGAGAGGCCCACAGGAGGACTCCAGAGGCAGGAGGATCCCTCCACTTCAAAGAAATGCTTCTATTCAAACACAAAGAGGAAGTGCTTGTTGTAGCTCCCACATGATTATCCAATAAGAGGGGTCAGCTCATCCATCTAGCTACCACAAGGGACAAAGGAAAGGCCTTCTCCACCTCTCTTTGCCCTTTCCCCATGATTAGCTATAAGCAAAACCTATTAGCCAGCTAACAGCAATATACATACATATATATATATATATATATATATATATATTTTTTTTTTTAATTTTTAAAGAGAAATGAAACTGTTCAAATTAATGCCAGGTGCATCATTCTGAACTACCTAATAAACTCAGGTGTCACCATTCATAGACCAGAATTACTGTTAGGTGAGGAATTCTGTCTTGTCAAAGAGGTGTCCAGGTATGGTGGCATACACCTGTGATCCCAGCACTTGGAAGGCTGAGGCAAGAGCCTCCTTCCTTGTGAGTCCAAGGCCAGTCTGGGCTATATAAGGAAGTTCAAGGCCAGTCTGCCCTACATAGTAAAACTGTGTCTCAAAAAGAAGAAAAGTCCTAATCCCCAGTGCCTTAGGATGAGGCTCTATTTGGAAATAAGTTCTTTACAGCAGCAACCAAGTTAATAAGCCCATCAGGATAGAGTAGTACTAGTATTTCTATAAGGATGACATGATTGGTATCCTATAAAGGGGAGAATTTAGACATAGACACAAATATGCACAGAAAGAGACATTAGGTAAAGATGGAGGATTAGAGTGATGCACTTACATGCAGAGGAATGACAAAGACTATAGGCAAACCACCCACAGCTAGGAAATCAAAGGATTTTTTTTTTTTTTAAATTTGGTATAGGGTCTTGCTACACAGCTCAGACTATGTAGTAGTGATCCTCCTGTTTTCAGTCTCCCCAGCACTGAGATTACCGGTGTGTATCCCCACACCCAGTCTCAGTGGCCAGCTTGGCATGCCAGGGATGGGGTTGGCATGGCATGTGGTACTAAGGATCGAACCCAAGTCCTTACGTTTGCCAGGCAGGCACTTATACTGCTGAGCTATCTCTCAGGCCCAAGGAAAGTATTCTTTCTTTACAGACTTCAGAGGAAGAATGATCCTGCCAATGCCTAAGCCTTAGGCTTCGAGCCCTAGAACTGTAAGTCAACAGACTTCTATCAGGCTAAGCCACCTGTCTGGGGGGGCTTTGTCTCAGCAGCCACAGCAAACTCATGCGGTTCCGAGAATCATCAACGAAGGCGGCAGCCAGTAGAGAACAATGTAAAGCTGATACTAATAGATACTGCTACCCTACCTTAACAGGAGGGTAGCAGTATCTATTAGCATACAGCAGTAGTGACAGTCAATTCCAGCATGGAATCACAGCCAGAAGCTGTTCTGCAACAGAGAAAGAAGCAGGTTATGTTAGAAGATGCACTACAGTCCACATCTGACAGGAAACAAAGAAGGGCAGGACAGGAGGCAAAAAACAATAGCAGAACAAGGAAGGTCTGCAGTGGGGCAGAGGAGTAGGAAGGGAGAGAAGAACAAGGCTCTAAAAATTACTGAGCCAGTGAACTGAGAGGATGTGGTACCTGATGAATATGGGGAACGAGTTCTATTATAGCTTGTGCCTAGATGTACCCTGAAGCCTTAGGCGATCAAAGGTGAGGGTTTTTTGGAGGCAGGTGAATCTATAGTGTATGATGCTGGGATTGAGTCATGGTGCAATACTAGGATCAAGGGCACTAGGATTAAGAGTGTGAGTGCTACCTATCCTTAGGGGATAAGATATAAGATATAAGGGACAGAAAGAGCTACGGTCAGCCTTACATTTTGTTTTTGGGGTTTGCTATTGTTGCTGTTGTTATTGTTGTTGTGTTATTGCTACCTTCTGCCTGCCGTGAACTGTTTGTCCCATCAGTGTCTGTCAGCCAGACCACTGCCTTGGAGCTAGGAACCTCTTCAATGTGTGGGTGTTGGTTATTTTGTCTTAGCAACAAGAAAAGTAACTAAGACAGAATTTGGTACCAGAGACATGGGGTCATTGCTGTGACTGTGCCTGACCATGCGATTTAGCGGCCTTTGGAGCTGGCTTGTGGGGAGGGGGAAGATTAGGAAAGGATCGGAGATTCTGGCTGAACAGCATAGCTGGAACTCCTGCGGCTGCAGCACATACAGGGCACATCTGCTAGACAAATGGAGGATGCCGATCTCAGACAGGATGCCCTAAGCACAGAAATGAGTCCGCAGCAAACTGAATGAAAGACTGGCTTCAGCCAGGCCCACTTCTGCGATCAAGCACTCCAGGGCTAAGGCAGGAGGATTACAAGTCCAAGCACAAAGCATGGGCAACTAAAGCAAGACTCTGTCTCAGACATAAAAATGGATGGGGATATAGATCAGTACAAAGACCCTAGATTTAATCCCCAGCAATAAAAAGGAAAAAAAAGAAAGAAACAGAGAGCTAGCTTTTACACCTCTGGGTCCCATGCAGGAAATCAAGTACTGCTGCCTCAGACCCCCTTGTTCCATCCTAACAGGTCTCACAGAGGATGAGGACAGGACTTCTGCCTGTAATTCTCAACACAACCGACCACCACTGCACCGAAAGCTGGCTCTAGGATTTCCAATGTTCAGAGTTGAAAATGGAGGCAACTAAGGAACTTCAGGAACTGCCAAAAGAGGCACCTGGGAGTAGAACCCAGAGACCAGCAGTTTCAGCACAGGGAAAGATACAAAGATTGCCAGGCTCAATGGAGGCTTGATGAAGCTACCAGCAAGTCTACACAGATAAAAATTATCCCACACACTTATAAAATAGAAATAAGACACGAAACACACTCTACCTAAAAGAAGTAGTCATTTTCTTTCAGATGCTTACCGTTTTCTTTTTTGTGTAAGAAAACACACTTATCTAGGTAAATCAGAAACTTATTTGCACAAAGACCCAAAGCCTGAGACTAAGTCATGAGTTCTATATGGGCTGAAAAATCAAAGGTCTGAACAATTCTCCCCTGAGGCCCATTTGTTATGCTGGTACATTCATGACGTCTACTTTATTAATTAGTACTTGTTTGTACTACATATTCATTGCATTTACTGGGAAGAGTAAGTACATGAACATAAGTATCTTAATGCTTTTTGTCCCATCTCAAAATCTTCTTTGCATTTACCAAAGATCTTTTTCCCTGTTTCTTTCTTTAGCTCTTTGTTTTTTTCAGTTTAAAACTTTTATTCTTTATATCACTAGAATTGATCTTGTTACTCATTGTTTCTTTGTTTTGCTCTTTTTCTCTCTTTCCCCTTCCTACAGTACACATATGAAAACTAGGGTTTTTGCACTCATCTGCAGCCCCAGTCGTTTTTTTAGTTTTTTTTTTTTTAACTAATTTCAATGAGAAAGAAATGGCAATGTGAGTTTCAAAACAGGTTAGTAGGACAATTACAATAATTAATACACTGTATATTGCTATCTTCATAGTATTCAGAAAACAAGATGCAGCATTTACCTTGTCTAAATGCTATTAGTACAAATTCTTCTCATTGAACTAAGAGAAAGTAGCTATGTATCTATTTTAACTATTTTGTATACACAGATATATATTTTTTTTTTTCGCTGCAAAATGGCCCTTCATTTATATCCCCCTTTTTTGCTTTGTCAGAGATGGGTGTTCCACTGCTGTTAGAGAAGCTGTATTTGAAGAAGTCTTTAAAGGACCTTTTCATACTTCATGCCAGTTCAAATATTGTAGGTACCTGAATTCAGAAAAATAACCCAATGTAGTTCAATAGTTCATAATAGTAGTGGGTTATCAGCAGAACTGGCAATTGTTAGAAGGTGCTAACTTGAGCCTTTTACAGCTCAGTATATTAATATAGATTTACTTTGTATATCTTGTGGTTAAACTTTTCTGCTGGATGGTTAAGACCAAGTTAAAGCAAGACCCATATACCTAAAAATGTGGGGCCAAGGAGATGGCTCAGTAGAATAAGTGCTTGCCTGGCAAGCACAAGGGCCTGATTTCAATCCCCAGTTCCACCAAAATAAATAAATAAATAAAAATAAAAATGTAACTTTTGTATCTTACAAGGTCAGTCAAATCCTCTCACAATTTATCCTGAAACCATGTACAGCAGCTTGTAGATCTTTCATCAGTGTCAGTCATCTGGATGAGTCATGGCCATTGCTTGACCAATTTGCTCTCTGTGAAAGGCTGAGAGAATGTTTTCTCTCCATGTGACTCTCCTTAGGCACACTACATCATCGATCACTTTCCTCTGTGGCCCCATATTCTCCTTGAACAGAAAATTTGGGACACCACTGAGTTACAGTATGTCACAGCACAGGTTCTCTTATGTCATGAGTCCTCACTGACTTTGAAGGTCTAGAGCCAAAATATTGGCTATCCTCGTAGCCCTTCTTTGTCTCTAATTTTTGGTCTGCAAACTTTAGTTGTTAACCATCCAGAAGAGAAGCTTAATGATATTATTACCCAGTAACAGAGGCAGCTGTAGCTCTTTATTTATACTTTGGGCTTCTTCAATAAGAGATGTTAAGTGATATTTAAGTGTCTCATTTCATTTAAAATTGTCTCAAGCATTTTCCTACAAATGATTCTAGTTCTTTTCCTCTTTATGGCAGAGCTATACTCCATTGTGTATAATCAGCACACTCCCTTTACCCATTCATCTGTTCACGAGTATGCAGACTGCTTCCAAGATTTCATTGTTATGATCTATGCTGCTATAAACATGAGTATGCATATATCACATATCATATCACATCTACAACTCTTCCAGGAAGATAACTAGAAAGGAAATAGTGGAGTCAAATGGAATTTCTAGTTTTAGTTTTTTTGAAGGCTCTCCATACTAACTTCCATAGTAGTTGTTCTAGTTTACATTTCCACCAACAATGTAAAAGGGTTCCTTCGCCTGGTAACTTCACCAGCATTTGTTATTATTTGATTCTTGATGATGGCCATTCTTTAGGGAACCAGATGGAACCTCAGTGTTGTCTGAATTTGCATTTGTCTGACAGCCAGAGATGTTGAACACGTTTTCATGCAGGTTTTAGCCATTCATACTTCTTATGAGAAGTGTCAACTCATTTCAGCTGCCCATTTCTGATTGATTCTTTTCTAGTTTTCTTGGCTTCTTTACATATTCTAGGTATTAGTCTTCTTCCAGGGAGTAGCTGCCAAACTATTTTTCCTGTTCTGTAGGTTGTCTCTACACCTTTGGTTGTTTCCTTTGCTGTACAGAAGCATTTAAATTTGACATAGTCCCACTTGTTGACTTGATGTTATTTCTTGTGCAGCCAGAGTTCTGTTCACAAAGTCCTTACCTGTGCCTGTGTCTTCAAGGTTTCTACCTATTTTACTTTCTATGAAGTCCTCTTGCCATGGTTATGTACACCAGAGCCACAGCAGGTTGGACCAGCACCAAGTCTGAATGAAACTACAACTGCAATGCACTGAGATAAACTACAGTCAGATTTTTCCTACGACGTAACCTTTTGTGCCCACTGGAACACTCTGCCCCAGTCCAAATCCCATCATGATCCACTCAACAGAATTTAGATGCTGCTCTGATTATAACAAAGCCACCATGAGAAACAACTTTAAATGGCATCTAAATGGCACCTGATTAGACTGTAAAGAGGCTCAAAACCCAGGGGTGAAAAGAGAAAGGGTACTATGTACATTCTGCTCTTTCCTTGGGTTACTACTAGTCAGGTTACATGAGGGAGGATGTGAAAGGAGGTAAGTTAGGTTGTAATCCCCATGGTACAGCAAAATAGTAGACCCTTTTTGGACCCCCATTATACTTCCCCCACCTGGAGACCAAAGAGCACCATGCCAGGTAGCCACAGGAAGGTACTATACATTGCTGACCACTCCACTTCCATCGATGAGCGTGTATGGGAACAGTTGCCAGGAAAAGTCCAGAAAAGCCAGATTGACAAAACACAGTTGTTAGCCAAAGACATAACACCATGGCTGGCCAATCTCTTCATCAACAATGTAGAGTACTTTATAATCTGCTAGGTGACTAAAATGAAAGGTCAAGGTGAAAGTCCATCATTAAACCCTGCATGTCTACTTACAGGCTCCACGAACTCGAACATCTTCCTCTCCTGCACTTCTTGCACCTTGAACACATATTCCAGGGATACCTCATAGAAGTGCTGCCGGACCAGGTCTACCTGGCTGTCTGCCTACAAAGAAGACAGGATTTAAGAGGAAAATCTAGTTATGATCCAACAAGAACACTGACCAAGCAGAAAAACATCCCTGGAGACAATTTTTAAAAGCAAAACAAACAGCTTGATACAGAAACAAGTATAATTATAATGATTAGCCCAACATTAATTTTATGCCAGGCACCATGTCCATAGCTACATAAATAAATACATATAACACTTTATTTAATCCTCATTAATTTTAATTATATAATCCTCATTATATTCCTATAAAGGAAATAATATCTTTATCGCTAATTTGCAGAAGGAAGATGAAGTGTACCCAAGCATTAAGAAACCTAACTAAGGTCATGCAACTATTAAAGAACAACAGCTGTGGTTTCTGTCCAGGTGGATCTGTCTTCAAGACCCTCCATCATTCTTACAAACTCTACTCTTCCCACACCTGAGTTCCATGGCAAACAGAGGTTTAGAGCAGAAAGAACGAAGCCTGGTGCAGTGGCACAAGCCTCCCAGCTACTTGAGAGGCTGAGGCAATTAGAGTCTCACAATCTTAGTGAGACCCTGTCTCAAACAAACAAAACAAGAATGCCTACGGAGCTGTCCTCAGCCATCATTTCTCATGAACAAGCTGGTAGAGGGCAGGAGACCCCAAAACAGGACATTTTCATACCAGAGCCAAGTACTCTGCTAATGACAAGGATAAATTACCATTTATCCTAAGAGGGTAATCACATTGCTCCCCCACACTCCCATTTTTCCCTCTGCAGATGGTGTCCAGGACAGGCCACCCTGGAAATAGTTAAGTCACTGATCCGCAATCTCCTATCCAGGGCTGAAAATGAGTAGCACTCCATGAGCATGCTTTGCTAAAGAGATGCCCCGCCCTTGCTCACTCAAAGTGTTCTGCCTGTCCACCATGTGGCTGTATCCACATGTTCTTCTAAAATACAGTTTCACTGAGAGCACAATTCACCAACAAAGCACTATAGTGGATATGGTGGGGTTTTTAAATATAAATAAATTATGCTGCTAGTACAAAACAAAGCACTGTTTTCCTTAGAACTTAGTCACAACCAGTTTATATCACCCTACTGAAACAAAAGAGCACCCCCAAAGGACATTTATTATTCCTTTGTCAAGATTCCTCAGAAGGGCAGGGGAGAGAGCTCAATAGAATAAGTGCCAAGCGCAGGGTCCTGAGTTCAATCCAAAAAAAAAAAAAAAAAAAAAAAAAAGATTCCTCAGAAGAAACTTGCAATAGACCCTTCCATTATCCCACACATGTTATGCTACATGACACTGTAAGATTTTAGTAAATCATTCTTTCCTTCAGCTGTCACAAGCAAAGAGAGTTCCTTCACCAGGCTTACAACACAATGAACACAAAACAGAGTGCGAACCAAGTCAAATAGCTATATAAATAAAAGTTACAAGCTCTGGTAAAATACAAGATGAGGTACATAAAAAATAAAGCCCCAAAGTGTGTATTCAAGTCTCTCTTGCTACCAACGTCCTCCCAGATAAATGACACATTCACACCAGAAGCATGGTCTGCTGAGTTACTGCTGACATTGCCAGTCCTACGGATAACCCGCTACTCTTAGGGACTACTGGACTATATTGGATTATTTTGCTGAATTCACACACCTACAACATTTAAATGGCAATGGAATACCCCTCTCTGACAAAACTAAACAAAAAAAGGGGATACAAATGAAGAACCATTTTGTATCTATATAGACAAAATAGGATAAATATAGAGCTACTTTCTCTTAATTCAATGAGAAGAAAGATTTGTAGTAATACTATTTGGACAGGATATCATGTCCACATCTTGTACTATGAATAATCACTACAAAGACAACCATATGCAATGTATTACTTATCAAAACTGTCCTATTAATTGGTTTGGAAACTGTCTCACTGCTATTATTTTCTCAATAAAATTAATTTTTAAAAATGAATAAAAAGGAAGGGCTAGGCTGAGGGCATCTTCTAACTATCCTTATCTGAGGGCAAGGTTTCAGGAGGACTGTACACCCTCATTTAACATGCACAGCTGCTTAGACAATCAGGTTGACATGTCTTCCGGCTGGGCTCCTGCTAGCCGTGCCTCATATATTCCGGCAGCTTTCAACGTCCTTGGGGTGCAACTCCAACACACATCACTGACTACATCTTCTTCCTCCAGCCATCCTACACACATCTCACACATTTTCCACAGGCTTGCTAACTACAACTCACTGTTAGGCACGGGAAAGGATCATTCTGAGAATCTGCAAAGAGGTCTCTTGCAGCATAGGCAACACGAAAGAGCCACAAGGAAATTCCAGGGAGGAACAAGGAACCAACTCAGAGAGCTGACCTGAGCGCATGTTCCAGTTCTACAATCTTCTGGTTACTGTGACCTGTTGCAGTCACTGCTCCCACCTGGAGGATGGAGATACTGATATCTGCCCTTGCTGAGTGGAGCGAGTTCACAGAGAAAATGGGCTAAATGATGCCAAAATCTGGAGACAGGAAGAGTCCTGTGATTATTGGACAGTACCTGTCACCAGGCGCTTCCCCATCAATGGGTTGTAGTCCTTCCACCCTAAATCAGCATACACTGTCCCCCAAGGCCACAACACTGCCCTCCGAACAGTCTCCGCACCTGTGTTCTCCACCCAGAAGCCAGAATTTCCTCTTAGAATCTCAATCAGATGCCTCCCAGCCTCTTCCTGGCCTCCCTGGCCTCGATGGTGGAATTCAAAGCCCTGTTCCATCTGCCCAGCCCAGCGGCCCCTCCGCCCAGTCTAACCAGCCCTCACTGTGCTTAGTATTCTGCTTTCTTCCTAAGTTCCACACTTCTTTCTAGCCTAAAACCTTTGCATTTAGCATTCATTCTCTGAAAAGTTCTTTTCCTAAATAAGGTAAGTGTGTGTGTGTGTGTGTGTGTGTGTGTGTGTAACTAAAGTACATAATTAAAAATATTTTCACGGGGCCAGGGAGATGGCTCAGCAGAATAAGCACTACCCTGGCAAGTGCAAGGATCTGAGTTCAATCCCCGATGCCACCAAAAAAAAAAAAAAAAAAATTCACAATGTCCCAATAAACACTCATGTTTAATTAGTACAATGAGCTTTCATATTTTTATCTAGCTTACTCTATTCTACTGAACGGCCCAACAGTTCTCGTCATTATACATCCACAGCTTGCAAGCCTGTCCCGGCCTTCAAAGCAGCTCATGTCTAATCCTCCTAGGCCCTCCTGAGCTTTTCAGAAAAGCATTCATTAACCATCCTATCTCCCAATTTATATCCTTATCCCTTTGTGAAGTTCTTATTTATTCCTGTCTCTTGTGTTGCCTACTAGAATACCGTCTGTGAAAAGATACCTTGTCTATCCCAGTGTCCACAAAGTAGCTGGATATAGGAAATGCAAACACACTAAATGGCTTGCTCTCCGTGCGGCTATCAGTCAGTATCAAAGGTGACCCAGCCCTGACAAGCAACACATAACTCAATGCATTTTCCAAAGAAAACATAAGAGAAATCTCAACTGCAGTGAGGTTTTCTTGCCAGCATCCCTGCTTACCATGGGCCACAGAATTTATCACATCCTTAGACTCTCTAAACTAGAATAAGAAGCCAGGACTTTAACCTGATTGCCAGACAACTTGCTATGGTCTGAAATGGTTTGAGTGTGTCCCCAAAATTCCTATGCTGGGGACCTGGCCCGCAGTGTGAAAGCACTAAGAGGCCGGGTGGCGCCCAGGGGCAGGTCACAGGAGGCACTGCCCTGGAAAGGGAGGCACTTTCTTGGGGCCTTAGTTAACTCTCTCAAGAAACTTGTTTTATAAAAACAACTCTGGCCCCTCCTTGCTCTTTCTAGCTTCCTGTCTTACCCTGTGGTGCCTGCCCATGATGTCACCACTCATGAAGAGGTATGGGGGAAGGAGTAGCTCTCTAGAGCTGGTGCTATGCTGTTTGAAATTTCAGCCTTCAAAACTGCAAGTGAAGTAAAGCTCTTTTCTTTATAAAGTACTCAGCCTCAAGCATTCAGTTCTAGTGACAGAAAACCAATACACCAACTCACAACAGTTCATCTGTCAAACTATAAATCTTACAGCTTGAACAGATCCATCAATCAATCTGTTTTTCTCCAAAACTGTTGAGTTCCATGACAGTAGAACCTTCATTTCATTCCCCATGACACACTCAGAGCCTGACCAGACTTTCACAGAACTATCTCATGAATACTGGAATAAAGCAATACTGTTTCTTTATTGCAATACACAATGTTCACATTTTTGTTAATCCACTAGATGGCAGTGTCATCCCACACTGCTGCCCTGTAACTTCTCACTCCACAGATTGGGCGATGGACTCAAACTGAAAAGCCTTCAATCCGGAGTTCTACAATCAGAGCATAATTCTGAATAATGAAAGACAGCGGGTTTTATCCAAGATGTACCAGGTATTTAATAATGTTCACAAAAGTTAATTTTTAAAATAAATGTGAAGGAAATCATTACTAAATAGGTGGAACATCTTAATATGCAAATCACTTTGCCTCTGCTAGGAAATCAGATCCTTTGACTATATCCAACAAAGTCTTGGTAGATGCTCGCCAAGGTCCTTCCTTCTCTCCACTTGTATTTGCACAACTGGAAGGGATCAGAGCCCCTAGACCCTGAGAGGAAAAAAATAAAAATGGAGGGAAAAAGGGCTCCACAGCTAGGTGGCATGATCAGCTAGCTGTGGGCAGGCTACTGACCAGCTGTGAGCCTGTCTCCTCAGATGTAAAGCTGACATTCACACTTCATGGGATAGCTGTGAGGAGTCAAGAAGACTCTATGGAAAGTCCTTAACACAGCACTTCAGGCATACATGTGCAGTCAGTAAGTGCTATGGACGTTGCTGGTAGTAGCTGTATGCCGTGGCTGTTACTGGACGGTTTCTACCTGTAATTTAGCATAGGAATACCTGAGTAGCAACACCTGAGAAATGGGCCTGAGAAAACCAGAGCTTGCAAAACAGATGATAGTGCAATCCTTGCCCCCACCTGTGAGTACTTAGCAAGCAGGAGTGTGTAAAAGACAGGAGCACAAAGAACTAGAACAAAAAAGCATAATAAAAAACATTCATGGGCCGGGGAGATGGCTCAGTGGAATAAGCGCTTCCCTGGCAAGCGCAAGGGCCTGAGTTCAATCCCTTGGTTCTGCAAAAAAAAAAGAAAGAAAGAAAAGAAAAACATTCACTGGGCTATACAAGGGCAAAGGCTGTAGTGCCACCCAGCATGGGTGGAGGGGACAGAGAGGAGCAGGCCAGTCAGAGGAATAATATCTGTATTTGCTCAGCAGCGATGGTTTGCCTTCTCATTCATGAACTAGTCAGAAGGGGTTTATGAGTATTTTACAAATAAAGGAATGAAAGCTCAAAGAGCCTAAGGTACTTGCTCCAGATCACACAGCAAATACAAGAAGGGGAAGTCCCAAGGAAGGTACCCTCTTTGGTAGGCCATGCTTCAGGTCCTTATGCTGTGATAACTCAGAGGGAACTGGCACTGGAATGATCCTTAAAACACTGGATTAAAAAACAACAACAACAACACTGGAGTCAGTGCAGTCAGTAATACCCAGCCATGGAAAGAATGGACCCTCACCACAGAGACCACTGTGCCTACAGGATACCTGGGGGCTTCCAGTATCAACAGGTGCCAGAACTAACACCCACCTATGCCACTCAGGGCAGCTGCATGGTTGTGGTGCATTAAGTAACGGTTAACTTACAACATCGAGCTGAACTGAATCAACATTGCTGGGTGTCGAAGGTCCAGCTGAGAACGTTGCCAGCAGCATAGCAAGAACTGAAAGAAAGATGCTGTGCTGTCAATTCTCCTAGAGAAGCTTGTCAGGCTGGCTTTTCTGATATGAACTCAGCTGTTCTCATCAGAAGCAGAACTCAGGTCCTCTCCGTTGCTGAGGATGGCTGCCGTTTTTCTGGGGGGAGCTCTGGTCCTAAGGGTTGCTTCCTGGTTCCGGTGCAGATACCTCGACCTTCTGGCACAGATCTTTCATCCCGCTGGATCAGACTTTCTAGCTTCTATCACTGACCTTTGGGCCATCCCACTGTAGATCCTTAATACAGACTAGGATCAAGACACTGTCATGGGTTGTAGGCCTTCAGCTGAACTTACGGAGGACACTGCTATGGGCTCTAGGTCTTCAATTTGATCCTTCATACAGACTTGCATCAAGACACTGTCATGGGCTGTAGGCCTCGAGCTGAACACATGGAGGACACTGCTATGGGCTCTAGGTCTTCTACTTGACACGTGGACACTGCCTTGGGATCCAGGCCCTCAGCTGGATTCTTTGAGTCCCTAGTGCATGGACAGATCTCTTGCATTCTTCTGCATTTTTTAACTTTTGGGGTAAATATTATAAAATAATCATATGTGTCTTTATTAAATTCTATTTAAATTTAAATCTATTAAATCTTTTTGCAAATCAATCCTGACTATACCATTGGTCAGCCTTACAATAGTGTATAACCAAGAAGAAGCTGCGGAGCTAGAGAGACTTGGCCACCGTCAAGCACAGCCAAAGAAATTTTCCTGAAATTTGAGTTTCCAAACCCTAAATGCCATCTAATGTTAGAAGAATCAGAACTAGTAAGTGAGCACTGGGACAGACCCTAAATGGAATTACTGAATTATCAGGAGCAATCTATCTATCTTGAGGCAGCATCCAGAGGCTGTGTCCTTGTGTTGACTTGTGGTCCTTATCACCACTCAAAGATTGTGTGGTACTTTTTGTGGGGTTTTTGGTGATGGTAGGGATAGAACCCAGGAGCTTGCGTGTATTAGGTAAGCACTATACCATTGTGCTACACCCCTGGCACCAAAGAATCGGTTCAAATGCTCACTTCAAAGCAAAAAATTCCTGAGAGCACCACATTCCTACCTGAAAATGGATATGAAATCACAAGTAAGAGGGACCCGGACTCCACATCTCCTTACGTTCATCTTTCATCTCCTCACTTGATATAAGTACTGACATGGCATATACTCAAAAAGAAATGAAGCTCAAGAGCAACAGGCAGCCTGAAAGCCTACGCTTCTCCTTAGGGACATCATTTGAAAAGTTGGGCAAATTGTTGAGAGTTAAATAAAATGACCCTCATGAGGTCAAAGTTAGGATTCCACTAGGAAACTGCACTGCCTCCCAGAAACTAAACTTCCTCACCATGCAAATCACCACAAACTAAGTAAAACAATGAAAACTCTAGGGCTTCAAACTGACTTTTCTTTCCAAGTGAAATACTTTTTTAAAAGATCCCATGCAAATCCATAGGAACCAGGAACAGGCTGATAAATATTTTCTTTAAACAAGATTACCGGGCTGGTGAGATGGCTCAGTGGTCTAAGGCACCTACTTAGAACAAGCTCAACAAAGCACAGGAACCGCAGTTCAATCCCCCAGCACCACATGCTAGCCAGCCCCGCCCCCTGGTGGGCTGAGCTCGCCACACACACACACACACACACACACACACGCACACAAATAAATAAATAAATAAAATTAAAAAAAAAAAAAGATTGCCAAAATTCAAAATATGAAAGCAAAACCAACCCCCCCAAATACATATATATATACATATATATGTATATATATATATATATATATATATCATATCAGTAAGACACTATTATAACACTATTATAACAAAAAAAGGCAAGAAAACTGTCAGATACTGCATTGAAATAATATTTAAAAATTAACATTAAGGAAGGATGAAAAAGTGCCTCAAATGCAAACAATGTAAGTCACTGACATGGACAGGAAGTCAGAGTTAAGGAAACAGAGTACAGTATTAAGGCCAAGGGTGAGAGAAACAGGAAGACACATCTCAGCATGCAGTGAAGAGTGCCAGTCTAGCAACGCGAGCTGCTCCACAGAAGGCAGCCCTCAGGCCAGCAGCACAACCCAGAGCCACAAAGGTGGGCAGGACAGGAGGTCCAGAGGCAATACAGGCATCGGGAAGTGTGGGAGGCATCGGGATCAAGCTCCCAGTTTCCAAGGTCTCTGGCAAAGACGTAAGGTTTTCTGGCAAAGGGTAAGCACAGGCATTGCCTAAAAGCTACATATTTTGTTCAGGATATATGTCAAGTTTCTTACCTCCTGAAGCTGAGATTCCTTCTTTTTGGAAGACAAATTCAAGTGTTTTTCTAAGGTGCCACAATACTTTTCTGTCTCTTTGTCATACTTCTTTTTGGCTTCCTGGCAAAAAGAAAAAAGAAAGAGAGGGAAAGAGACAGAAAAAAATGAAAGATGTTATAGGCTGCATGACTAAAGCGATCCAGTCTGCCCAGACCCTGCTGCTCTCCGTACAGGCTCGCTGCTCCCACTGCACAGAACAGCAGTAGGCAGCACGGCTCCTGCTCTCCTGTGAAGCCACAGCACTATCCTGGCACGGCCTGCTCACCAGAGCATCTGTGTGGCACCCAGGCACCAGCCCAACCCCAGAAACAAACTCTACCTTCTAAGATCCCCGATTATGGGGACTGCACATGTAGCTCAGGGGTGGAATCCCTGCTTACCATGAATGAGGCACAGGGTTAGGGACCAACATCATAAATGCATAAAGGGCAGGGGAGAGAACTCCAGTTGTCACACCAAAATTTCTAGTTTCAATTCATACAGATGCCAAGCTAGAGAAATTAAGGCCATGGAGGTTACATATGAAGCTAACGCTACCCCCAGCCTGAATGGGACACATTTAAAATAAGGCTTAACAGAATTCAAACAGAACTCCTGGGGCTGGGGAGATAACTCAGCAGTCTAAGTGCCTGCCTGGCAACCACAAGGACCAGGGTTTGATCCCCAGTGCTGTATGCTGTGCTGGCCACCAAAACCAGGTAGGGCAGTGCATGCCTTAATCCCAGCATTGGAGAGGCTGAGACAGTTGGATCACTACGAGTCTGAGCTGCATAGTGAGACCCTGCACCAAATAAATAAATAAATAAATAAATAAATAAATCTTTTTTAAAAAATACAACTCCTCTGTATAGATTACCACCTGATGCCATGTATATTTCTCTATGCTGTAGAATAATTCAAAACACAGTAAGATAATATCTTCACAAACATGTTCACGACGGTAGCATTGATAACAGCAAAACTGAACAAGCAGCAGCAACATCACTGCCCAAAAATAGGATCTGTCATCATTAAAGCATGGGACTTCCAATATATCTAATTAACCAAATGGAAGACTATTTAGTGGATCATGAGACAACGAAAACTATAACAACACGGTATAAACCTGGGCCAGCCTACACAAGGCATCTACTTACAGGCAAAAAATAAGATGAGTGTAAACTTAAATGAAAATATTTCAGATAAGAAAATAGAACAATGAAAATTTTTTCCTCCCTTTGGGAATTTTTATTAGCCTATTATTGCCTTTAAAACTAAAAATAATTATAATAATACAAATATTAATCCATCATCAAGTCCTTGAGTCACTGAGGTTCCATTTTTATTCCCCATTTTAAAGATAATAAAATTTCAAGCCAGGGCAGTTAACTTATAAAATTTTGCAGAAAATGACAGAACTGAGATCAGGACTCGAGGCGACTGTCCTCCAAGCCCACATTCTCCACCACATCTGAGGCACTTCCAAGGGCAGGCTTTTTTTCTTCCACATTCCAGTGGAGACTGAAGGCAAAATGGGTGGGAGAAAGCTGGTACCAGTCCAATAAGCAGTTTCAAATTCACTAATTCCTACTTTTGAGCATATGGAACTCACAGAAGATATTTCTGTGCAACTCTAGGCTAATGAGAGAAAAAGAATATTTTTCAAGCACGATAAGGAAGCTCAGACATTTCTCTTCATTCATTTACCTAATCTACACTGAGCACCCACTCTGTTCAGTTCCACACAGGCACTGGAAATGTGAGACAGAAACTGTCCCTACTCTCATGACAATAATGGTCTAGTAGAGAGAAGCACAATTACCAATAAACAAGTAAGCAGCATCGTTTCAGACAGCTGAAAGTGCTACAAAGGAAACAGTATGGTCACAGAGATTCTTTAGATAGGGTACTCAGGAAAGGCGTCACGTGGAGGGGAGGAGTGAGCTCAGGCCTGCTAAACACATGCACAGGTAGACAGAGCTTTCTGGACCAGAAAAACAGGTGCACATGCTCTGTGCAGAGAAGAACCCTGAGCAAGAGGCCAGGCTCCGGGGCCAGGGAGATGGCTCAGTAGAATAAGTGCTTCCCTGGCAAACGCAAGGGCCTGAGTTCAATCCCCAGTTTCGGAAAAAAAAAAAAAAAAAAAAAAAAAAAAAAAAAAGAGGCCAGGCTCTAAAGCTCTCTAAGCTCCCACACTTACCAAGTCCACAGCAAGACTCTAAGCTTCACAGGCTGAGAGAATAATCAATCCCTTACACATTAACAATGAAACATACCAGAGCAAAGAAGAAAAAGCCTAAGAAAACATCACTCTTTCCAATTCAAAGATACAGGCAGTAACTCTTTTCCTTTATAGAAACCAGAAACCTGGAGCTGGGCTCCAACTCCCATTAATGTTCCATAGGTCCAGTCCTACCAGCCTTGTCAGCAGTTTCAAAACAAGCACCCTAGGCCAACACAGTCCAGATAGCCAAGGATGAGAAAAGCCCGGAGAACATGAGCCACTGGCATTCTATGACCTTCTGGCAACTGAGCCTCTGCATTCCATGTTCGGGAGGATACCCAGAGCTAGAGAGAGAGCAAAGAGAATGGAAAGAAAAGAGAAAAATGAGGGGTTTCCATACTGAGAAAATGGTACCAAGACCTCTACAAGCAATATTTCTGAGCTGGGAGGGAGCTCCTCAGCTACCCAGGACACAAGGTGACAGCCACCTTTCAGAGAGGCTGCTGTGAGGTGATGAAGTAAAGGACAACAGTCAGAGTCCTACAACTTAGTCCCAGTGCTATAAAGACTGTCTATGCAAAGCAATGACCCTCTCCAGGACTCCAGGTCTTTATCTCTAAGTTGAGGAAGACTAAAGCAACAACTGCTCAGCTTTCATCTTTCAGGTCAAAGACTGCATAACAACATAAGGCTGAGGACATCCCTTCTTCATAGGATAGTTCGCATGAAACAAACCATACAGAGTGCTCACACCTGAAACATGGAAAGTACTCAATGACTTCCAGCGATGGTGATGAGGGTGGTAAGGGCAAGCCCAATGCCCTACACCCAGCCCCTCCTCACCAGGAGCACCACTTGCTGTGTGCACCATGTTCCCCAGAGGCAGATTTTCCAAGCACCTACTGCAACTTGAAATCACTCATTTCTTTCTACCTTTCTGACCAACTCCTTTCTCTCCAGCCACACAAGCTCAGCAACATATTTGCTTTGTTCTCCACCAAACTTCAGTGGAAAGCCAGCCCTGGATACACAGCAGGTTCTCACACATTTTCTTAATGAAATTTAATTTAATAACCAACACAAAATGGCAAAATGATGTCCACTTCTCTGTGTCCAGGCAGCCATATGATAGATATTTAAGTACTCTGTATGAGTTCAGCTATTTTTTTCCACATAATAATTCTGTGAGGTAAGTTCTATTATTTCCATTTTATAGATCAGGAAGCAGGCATGGGAAGGTTTAGGAACCTCCTCAAGTTTATATGCAAATAGCAGCAGCTGGACTTGAACTCTTGGCAGCCTCACTTTATGTCATGCCTAACTACCACTCTCTAATGTTTATACTACTTTCATTATGGAACCCAGCACTCACAATTACCTCTGGTGCCTAAAAAAACAAATCTGCTTCCCCAAACTCAGAAATAAAGACATTCAGTCATGGTTCTAACAAGCTCCAGGGTCCTGTCCTACTCCTGAACAGCCATACCCACATGAAAATGCCCACAAATCCCCTTCCGGGAAGCCTACATGCTGCACTCTCAGCAAAAGGTTCTTATAAAGACCAAAGCAGCACTAGAGAGATGAGGAGGAAGGAAAAGTAATTTCAGCCTCACACGGGCAGAGTTCAGGATCCTCTATTAGGCCACCACCAAAATCAGCTAATGAGCACTCTGGCTCTACAGGTATTCTTGAGTCTGTTCTCCAAATTACCTTCTAGGAGGTTTTTTAGTTTGTTTTCTCTAAAAATTACATAATACTATGACATAAATATGTAAGTCGTGTGGGTGGTGAAGAGGAGGGTATATTGTGGTGCAGGAGAAAAAGGACATGACAGAGGAGGAATGAGAATGATCCCAAATGTCATCAAAATGCCTTTAACACCTGCTGACTGATATCAAAAATTTAATGACTGATGATTATTAATTGAATGAATGAGAGGAAGAAGTACACATGACAGAAAACATGTTTCACTGGGTGAGAGTTCTTTTATTTTTACATACCCCACCACTAAAACCCCCACTGGCACTGTACTAAACCCGTGATCCCACTCAGACTTCTGCTGCTCAGCGGTAACTATGCTGACTCCCAGAACAATGCAAAGGAAGAGGGGAGGGTGAGAGGCGTCTGTCAGGAAGAAGTAACTACTGGAAGGATGACTCAGTGAGCAGGTCTGTTCTGCCTCTGCCTCAGAGCACGCCATTCCAGGCCTCCCTGGCGCCTCAGAGAGCACAGGGCCCCAGGCTGCTCCAGAGGTGCCTCTCCCAGGCCCTGACTCAGAGAGCCCTTCCCAGTGTGTCCTTAGCTCTCAGGAGGTCAACCCAAAGTCCTAGACAAAGTCTGAGTAGAACAAGACTTCCTTGAAATGATACACTCCTTAATTTCTGCTACAAAACTAATAAGCACCTTTTTTTTTCATAAATGTAAATTGAAATTAGTGTGACCATGCTGTGAAACTGGAAAAAAAAATCCCTGCCAAAGTCCCGCCTTCAAGAGACTAACTACCTGGCCCTCTGAAGGACTCTGACTAATGCCTTTTTCAGTTACCCTATCTGTTTCTGGAAGGCAGGTAGGAGGGAGAGGAAGGGGAGGGAACAAGCGTGAGTGAGAAGGCTGGAGAGGGAGCACACACTTACTCTGGTACACTTCCTCGCTTGTTTTCCACCTGTAATTGCTGCTCAGGGACATTTTTTCACAACTGAGCTGAGGACCCATGATGCCCAAGAGGGTGGTGGTGCCCAAAGCCCCTGTAGGTGGTGTGGGGAACTGAGACTGAACTGACAATTCCAGAAAAAGAGGAAAACGTGGAAAGCCTTTTGTCTACGGATTCCAATGAAAATACTTTCCCTGCAGGTGGCCTGTGGCACTCTGCTCAAGGTCAGACACACCGAGGTCACGTCATGTTTCATCACAGAGGCGAGTGATCCTGTAGAATCTACCCTCTACAAACAAACTGGATATAGTCTGATTATAGTCTTTTAATAACACATTCCAATCAGCCACTTTGGGCTACAGTCCCTCTAGCAATAATACATGGTAACCTCTGGGTGGGAACAGGCCTGCAGACATCCTTTTTGAGCTACACAATGAGTAAAACATATTTTCTTAAATTATTTGCCTCCAAGACATTTTCCATAAGTATCCGGTTTTTCAATTTCCCTCAAAACATTTAAATATCTGTCAAGAGGGGACCTGACGGACAACTCTGTCTGCTGAGGCTGTGAGACCTCCCCCAAAGGGCAGTTCTCCCCACAACAAAGCAAAACACACTGTCTGTGCATACAGCCACCTAATAACACAAGGGAGATGTAGTCTCTAACTGCGGATGGTTTATGAAGTAGCACAGAAAAACACAGTGGGCTGGTGAATGGTGGTTGATCAGTCCAGTTGTTCATCAGTCCCCTGCAAAGTGCAGAGCTAGGTCCAGCTTATCAAGTATGGGTTCCGAAGAATGAGGGCTGATGATTTTCCACGGTGTTCTTACATTTCAAAGAAGCATTTTCCAGACCACCACTAAAAACCCAACAGCAAAGTGTGCACAGTTCTCACCTTGGCAGCCCCAATCTGCTCCTTCCGAAACTTCTCCAAAGGAGTGATGAGTACCTCGCCGGCATTCTCAATCTGGTAAAGCAAATCAGAAAGGACCAAGGATAAGGGACAAGAGCAGGATGAGTTAACAGCTCCATCACACGCAACCCCCCTAAGTCTTTGAATGAAATTTGAGTAAGCAATAATACCCATATGTTGCTGTTGGCAAAACTAACCGTCATCAAAACAAAATATAGCCATTGATCTAAAACATGATATTCCTCTTGTGCATAATCAGTATCAACTCCTTAAAAGGAAAAATGAGAACATCTCAAAGTGTTAGCAACCACATGAAGACAAATGAGAACTGGTTTCAGGGCAAGGTCTAAATTTCAAGCACCTAGCAACATCTTCTGATCATTCTTAGAAGTTACAGGTAAAGTAAATCAACAGTGAGTCTAGGTTAAAAATAAAGATGAAAACACATGTAAAATCTGAGGGCACAAAAGCCTTTCAGGCCTGCTGTATTATTCCCCCAGCACAGGACTGGGGCCCGAATACCCGCAACTCTTGACCACTCACTATTTCTCAATGCCATCTCACAGGCCTCACCCCTCAGGTCCTACACTCCAATCTACTGTCACTCCAATGCACCACAAACTTGTCCCAGCTAAGGCCTTTGCCTCAGACTATTTCCTCAACACTATTCCCCAGCCTGTGCAGGAATGGCTCCTTATCATAATTAAGGACTTAGCTTATGGACCACTTCTCTAGAGAGGCCTTCCTTGACTAACAATATAATCCCAAGAAGCTACTCACCATCCCATTAAGTGTCGCACTACACACATTTACACACACACACACTTGTAAAGATTCATTTGTCTACCACTATCCACAAAGCACAAAAAAAAGCAATGAAACAAAGAAGTACTCAAATACTTCTGAATGAATGAATGAAGAAATGCATGCATGCATGCATGCACAAACTGACTTATTTCCAGGCTGGCTGCCAACTATGTGACCAGAGGCAAAACATTTAACTTTTCTGGGCTCTAATTTCTTCATCTGCAAAGTGTGTGGGCCAGATTGTGCCCAGCTCGAAGATTCTATGTTATTTTCTAAGGCAGCACAGTATTTTACAATCTTTCAAGTCATTCATTGCTCACTCTTTGCTCAACTATTTCAAGAATCTCACTGCAACAAGGCATTATTTTTTCTAAATCATATGCATGTCATTTGCAATGAAATCAACCAAGTCAATGCCAAAAGCCTTAGATGGACACAGTGAAGGATTGAACAACATAAGGGACAGAAAAAGATAGGTCTCCAAATAGATTCCTATTTACCCTTCTCTCAATTTTAAAACTATTTATAATTGAAGTTTTATTCCAGAAAAGTGCATTTTAACTAGTGTCGCAATATTAATTTATTTTAACTTTTTATCATTTGGTTTTACTTAACTGGTCCACTGAAGTCTTTTCCTCAAATCCACTGAAAGTCTTTGAATCTCAAAAAGCTGTGCTCAGCAACTAGGTCGGTGAGTCTCAACCTTAGCTGTATATTAGAATCACTGGGGAAGGGCCAGGGAGACAGTTCAATAGAATAAGTACCTGCCTGGCAAGTTCAAGGTCCTGAGTTCAACCCCTAATACTGCCAAAACAAAACAACAAAAAACCAAAAACACTGGGGAGCTTTTACAACCCCAGTGTCCAGACCATACACCAACACCTCACACAAAATAGCAAATGATGGCCCAGACAGCATTTTTAAAGCACCCCCAAGACCGTCCCATTGGGCGCCCTTAACTGAGAATCCAATCCTAACTAGTGCAGTTACGAAAGCACTTAACACAGGAAGCACAATACCCACACTCTTACCATAAACCTACTAGCTGCAAAAGCCATAAGACTGCTTTCCCACCTGTCAAATGTGTGATCACAGATGGTGAAGAACAAGGTCCCTCAGGGTCTAAGATTCAATGAGTGTCTAGGTTCCATGCAGTGTCAAGAACTACACTTGAAGCTGGGGACACAGAAGCCTATCCTCAGCCTTTGAGGAACTTATATTTTCTGTGGGCACAGACATATGTAATAACCACCAGGACATAAGGTGAACAGTGCAGAATCAGGGGCAAGACGAGGTGTTCACAGAGTACAGAAGATAGCCAAACATCCCAGGAAGCTGGGGAAGACATCCCAAAGAAGGTGCAGCTTGGCCAAGTTAAGTTGAACAGATGATAAACTATCACAGGATATGGAGGGGTGGCAAGGGGCTTGTAATGGCCACATATTCAGATGCAGACAGCAGAAACGCGCTTCACTGACATTAATAATAAAATTGCAGAGGCAAGCTGAAAAGCATAAGCCAGCCATTGTTCCCTGACCGCCAGTCACAGCAATCTGCAGGGGATTCATGGTTTACTCACCACGCATCCCGCCACCCCCAAATACTGACTCAGTCAAGAAATCAGACTCAAAAGAATCACTGCCCTTTCTTAGGCCCTAGCACGTGCACAAACACACGAGCTTTCCCCTCCCTCCACTTGTCCCCAATCCTGCCACTGCCACCACCACGGCCTTCCTGATTCTGGTCAAGCATCAGCAGTAAACAATTAAGAGAAAAGGGCTCTCTCTGCAGGGTACCTCTGGGAAAGTAGTAGGCTTCTGCTCAGTTAGTTTTTTAAAAAATACCTGTATTTTTTGGTGTAATGCTGACTTAGGTTTGAATCCAGTCTATACCACTTATTAGCGGGGTGACCCTGGACAAGTTAACCCTGGTAAGCCTATAATCTCTTTTTCTGCAAAACCTGGGGATAAATACTACTCCATAGAGGTGTCACGACAGTTAAATAGGATATGCATGTAAAGTAGCTGACTACATGTAAACAGGACTTACACTGTCAGCTATTGCTATGAAAAGAAAGAAAAAATGCTCAAATCTTGGCATCTTTCCTGTATCTCTGGAGTTCTGCTGGGTCCTCCTAGGGGCACTGCTGATATCTAAGCCATGTGGGAGAAGATGCCAGAGAACTCTCTATGAATGTGAGATCTCATACCCATTAACACTAAACCACATCAGAATAAATGTGAGTTCAAAAGGTAGCGCTTACAAAACTGGAGGCCAGCATCTGATTCTTGAATTTCTACAGCATTTCTCTTTGCAGATCTCAGGAACTGCCTTCATTTACTAAGTATAATTTCCCAGGTGCTAGATATATAGCAGGTTCTGCTTCGGGGCTTCAGAACTAAAGGTTAAGTGATGCCCCTGGCCCTCTAACCTCTAAGGCCAGGTTTAGGGCATGAGACAGAGGAATCACAGTAGAATATCTTCTTTTTCTTTCTGCTGGCAAATCATCTGAAGCCCTCAAAAGTTAAATCATTCAAGAAATCCACACTTAAGTCCTATACTTTATACAGGTATAGATATAGGTAGAGACCTTATAAGCAATCTCCAAGGGGACAGAGACACTGTTCTGGAATTATGCACCAGCAATCTAACACTTACAAAACTCTTCAAACTGCAAAGACAAGGTTTGCTGCAAGCTCAAAGCACTAAGAACTCAAACTCTGTACTTCTGAAAACAAATTTCTCCTCCCTCCACGTGAACACACGGTCTGGTACCAAGGGCAGCCCGCCATACTCACCATTCGTATCCGTTCATCTTCAAGATTCCTGAGGACAGTGGCAAACTCCTGTAAAGACCTTGCTGGAAAAGAGAAAAGGGGAGCCATGAGGCTGAGGGAGTAACTTGTCTTTTTAGGAAGCTTATGATGCTGCTATTAAAGCTATAGACTGAAATTCCTATACACACAGATGTCTAAAGTCAACTGCTCCCTAAAATTATCCTTATCTTTTAATCACTAACCATTAAGGACAGACGACCCAGAAATGAAGGTTAATTGCATCTGGCACTCTAGCTAGAGAAAGATTTCTTCAAGAAAAAGACATGATTGTCTCTGAGAGCACCAAGGACTGGTGAGACACTGGCAGGCTCCCAGACTCTAGGCTGGACAGGGCAGAGTTCAACCTAGGAGTTAAAGGATTTCCTGTCCAGGATTCAACCTCCTCAATCTTTGTTATGGGGCCATGTCAGAACTCAACCTTTTCTTTGACACCAGAAATAAACAAGTATCACTGATGCCATCAGAAGCCACATCTCTGGCATCTCCTTGGGTTTCTCCTCCCTCAGTCCTGCGGCCACTCAGTAACAGGACACAGCCTCACAGTCAAGTGTGAATGGTCTTCTTTGCCAAAATGACTCACAAAGCCATCAGGCATTAAGTGTTGCTTCCCTGAGGATACTCAGGACACTTGTGCGGTACTACGAGAAATATCCATCCACTCACAAAGTACATCAAGTATGTGTTTCCACTGCTCTCAGCTGCCTCCCAAATGTCTACTCATCCCCAGATCTTGGTGCCCTCCATGGCAAGAGGGATACAGTAAGTATCTGATGAATTAATCAAGTCACTATAATTTTCTCAATTCTTTTTTTTTTTTTTTTTCTGGAGTGAGGAAGGTCCTGTGGATTATAAATCCAGAGGCTCACACACACTAGTATGTATTGCTCTACTATATCTCTCAGCCCTAATGTCTCAATTCTTCCTCCCTATTGGAATCAACTATGAACTCCAATGTAAGAAGAACAAAGCACAATAACTCTGAAGAATAAGACTCTAGCCAAGAATTATTCTTGACCTTCCCTACCCTCTGTATCAGGGCTGCCTACAGAAGGCAGGTGACAGCAAAGAATGAGGAAATGCAGTGTGATAAGCAGGAACCACCTCAGCTTCTTGGTAAGGAAACAAGAAACAGAGGGGGTTGAGGACTGCAGGACCAGGACTCTGGGCTCCTCTCCCCACCTAAAGCTGCTAGCAGCTACACAGCTCCAGCCAACTGTTACCACACAGACCACAGGGCAAACACACTGGATTCTCAAACTTCTCAAAGAAGCTAGAAAACTGGAAAGGTATAAAAAGTCTGCTTAAATAGTAATTCAATCTAAATAATTGAAGTCAAGCAAAATATAGCTGCACTCTGACCTCAGTCCACTCTGACCTATTCTCTTACTTGCATTTACTTTTGCCCTAAGTACTAAGTTCTGTGCTTGAGGAGAAAAATGTCACAAAGCTGCCAGAAGGAAAATAATAAAAGTAGTCAGAAAGACCAGTGCAAAAGCTCAAGGTCTATCCTGCAGGCTGAAAGGTGAGTTAGGCAATCCCAGAACTGCAGGGGTAGTTCAGCAATTCAGAATAATCCCCGGCCCAGTATTTACAAATTAACTCTGGCCTTCCACTACCACTGTAGGCTTCTGTCTTTGCTAACCTTATAGGTCTTCTATCCCAAGAAAAAGGTTTTACTAGGACAGTGAAAGCTGTAACAAACAGTGGAAGTTTTCACCATCTCTACGGTTATGACTTACCTATACACATCTCATCATCTGTTTCTGCATCTCCTATGCATTGAAATTTAAATTCATTTAAGGAATCTGCAAACTTCCGCTTTGCTGAAGACAAATCTAGCAGGAAAAAAGAAAACAACATAGAGTTACTGCAATTCAACGGGTTTTCCCAGTTGTTGCCCTTTGTAGTTTTTCTATGAATATAGCAGCCAGATGATTTGTTCCAGACGCTATTACAGATTTATTCCTGAGATCATTTCAAAATACAAATGAAGGTAAACTCAAAATAGTATATATTCATTTATAACCTGAAATAATGATTTGCTGTAGAAGATTTTTTTGTATTTGCTTGAACAATTCTCATCCTATTTTTACTTAATCCAGCCATACAGTGAGTTCTGTCACCTCCATTTAACACACATGGGAATCCACTTGCCTCAGGTGGTCAAGGAAGAAGAAGCCTAGATCAAAACCAAGAAGTCTCCACAGCCTACATGTCAATTCTGCCAAACCTTCCATGTGGTCAGGATAGTGGTCCCATAGGTAACTCAAAGCTAATTTCTCCTCAACGGAATTCACAACACAAAATAACTGGAGGAAGGGAGCCTGGGAAAAGTGAAAGGAAGGGCTTGGAGATGCCTGTTCCCCATGGTACAGGAGTACCCAGACTTCCTCTTCCAACTGAGACAGGACAAAGCCCAAATTCTCAGACACCCTCTCTTCCTTCTACCTCCACCCTATTCCTGGGTGGCCACATCCACCACCACCAGAAGAACAAAGCCCTGGCAATGTTTTGTACTAGGGTAAAAACACACCCCACAGATGGTATCTATAACAAAAACTCTCAGAGGCCTTTGTCAAATTTTAAAAATAAGTTTTTGTTTAAGTCAGTAATAAAAGCCAATGATCCTTGCTGAGCCTTCGGCTTCTGTTAAGGGCAGAAAATCACCAAGGTACCTTTAATTGGCCTGACAGACAAGGCTGCTCAGTACAAATGTACTTAACTTAATTCTGTGTGCAGCCTTCCTGCAGATTAGGCTAATCATTCAAATTACCCTTATACATGCTCCCCTCATTGCAGGGGAAATGGTATTACATTCAAGTTCCCAGAGGGAAATATGAGGCATAACTAGGCACAAGGCCTGGCTTTAATAAGATGGGTCGGGAATGATGTGTGTTCTGGCTCTGCAGATCAACATGACCTTCTAAACAAAAGCATCCGTGATCTTCAGCGCTTCTCTTTCTTTGCTCTCATTTTGTCCCTCGAGGACTGGGGTCTTGTTTTTAAACTTTTATTGTGTTTGGTTTATTTCCTTTCCCTATATTTGCTGGCGCATCCTGCTCAGCATGGACTGAATGAATGCATGTTGGGACCACCACACATGAATCCAACATCCAGTGTTTGCTCCAGGCAGTGGCTGCCAGTGGAAAAGCCAGGCTCAGGCTACTATTTAGATCCTGGACACCATAGGCCCACATGATGTAAGTCCTGAGGTAGCTGGTGGCTCATGCAAAGCACTGAGCTCTACAATGTAGGAGGAGAGCACTTAGGGTGAGTGGAAAAGGAGAACACCTGGGCAAACCTCCTGTCCCTCCTGACTCTGTCACTTTCATGAAATGGTCCTGGACAAATCAATGCTGGCAGGGGAACCAGGCTTCTTTAAAAATTGGCTCAGGCTAAGAATAGCCCTCAAACCACAAATACAGCCTGGAAGGTCAAGAAAGAAACAAATATACGTGAAAGCCAGAAAACTATGGGAAAGAGGGCGCTGGCAAGCAGGAGACAAAGGAAAAGAAGAGTGATACTTCAGACTAGAGGACAAAGCCCTCCAAGAGCCCCAAAACGCATGTGAACTCACCATGGGTGTGGTTATGCACATTTTTATCTTAAACTAGATGTTCCTTCAATCAGAACTCACAAAGAAAAGCCTGAGCAAAGAGTAAGAACAGGTTTGTTTTGTCAGCCCACCTGACAATCCTCCTGTGCCTCCCCAGTAGGGCAGGAAAGACTAGGACTGGCCAATCATCTCAACAAAGTAAAAGGCAGTGAGGAAGGGGCTGAAACGTAAGCCAGGCTTGGGAAAGCTTCCAGCAGGCACTGAAAAGCTATGCTACTGGTAGTGCCAGTGAGAATCAAAGAGTGGTTAATAGTGACAACAGGGCCTTTGTGGTGCCTTTCACAGGAGGACCCAGTTAACCAGGCACAGACCTGGTCGCTTCTGACCAGAAGGAAATCTGATTTCACCCTGCTACAGCACAAACCTGAGAAGCAATGCAGGTCTCTTGAAGATGAGAAGGGCGTAGGTATATCCTTTAAAAGGAGATTAGGTAAGGTGTTCAGCAGAGTCAATATGGGCTGCTGGGCCAGTGAGACAAGCTCGGAAGGATAAATATCCCTATTACTAGAACATGGAAGAACTTACCTTGGACCTAGAAGGAAATTTTTTGGAAAACTACACTAGACACCTCTTGTTTTGCTTGTTCAGAATTGATGCTCCAGACCTAAGGACAGCATGCCAAGCTCATTTTGGGATCCTCCTTTCTCCATTTGCATTCAGTGAGGTGCCAGTTAGGCTGAACCCCCCAAACCTCTCTTGGTCCTGGGCTCAGACTCCAGCTCCAGCATTTCTCAGCTATGTACCTAAGCCTCGGTTAGTCAGTGTTTCAGTAACAGCATCTGGTGGATGCTGTCACCCCTGTAGGCCAGGTGGGAAGATGTGCTGTGCATGCTGTACACTCCTCCTACCACAAGGTCCAGGTCAAAGGCCACGCATGCTCTTCTTCCCCAGCATATGAATCATTCCAAAAACAGGACTCCAGGAAGATAAGGACAACTGCCTGTACGCAGAGCTCAGAGGAGTCGAAGACTGACAGGAGAATACAAAGCTTCTAAAAAGTCACCTGCGACTCCATCAGAGTTGTCTGAACTCAGATCTGCACAGCATGTGTGACAGGTGCCGCTTCACCCCATGAAGATAACCCCTGTGCTACTCGGGCCAACGTGATGAAAGCAAAAAAAGAAAACTAAAAAATCATTGTTTCTTGCCCATGTTAACTCAAAAGGACTGACAGTATCTTATGCAAAATAAAGATGCATGGCTTCCCCACAGTGTATTTCTGGAGCTTTTGCTCTGATGCACACAAGACCCTAGCATGCAGATTCCAGGAAGCTGGGGGCTGCTGGCACTAGGGCTGGGTGCATGCCAAGAGTCACAGCCCCACTCACATAACCTGTTTCATGCTCAGACAGTGCAAGACACAGCAGGGAGCCAAGGTGGAGTCAATAATGATTACTTTGCACAACACCTGTTGCTAGAAAAGCAGAAAACTGGGCAGAGCCAAAGTGGCCACTGCCTACATCTAGGGAGGAAAAGGATCTGCCTCTGAATGAGCTGACCAGGGTGGCAAGAGTACAGAAGCAGAGAGAAGGCTGACACTAGACAGACTGGCCCTGAAATCATCTACTCACTCAGGGGCTGGAGGAGAGTGCCTTTCCCGCCTGGAGATGTCACGCTCTGCCTCAGCAAACACTAATCCACAGAATCCACTTTAATTTGATACGGGTTTTACCCGTAGCATCACAAACCAAGCTGTGTCCTTTTTCTCCTTCGGTAAAACTGAACACAACTGTGTACACACCAATATATCCACACATATAATAAAGAACTCAAGGTAACTTTACAATTACATTTCTGTTCAGGGGATCTACTGCCTTTCTGTGCTCTTCAAAATTACTCAAACTGCATGTAACTAACCATAAAATGTTTGCCATTCAGTTACATCTTTCTTGCTAGTCTTAGCAAGCAATGATAGTAAAGGCCAGCTACTAAGGTAAAACTTGCAACAGGGCTGTCTCTTGGCTACTTATAAGCACAAGAAAACCAAAATTCCTAGCCTTGCTCACCTTCCTTTCTCTGAGCACCATCACACTGTGCCTTGTCCCCTTGTATTTGGAATGAATCTAGAACTATTCATGAGCAGCTTTGTATAACAACATGCAAAGAGTACAGTATGACTGACCTTCAAAACATGTTGTACTGAGCTGACTGGGCAAAGTGGCACAAGCTGGCTTATAAGGTGCAGTATATGAGTCACCAGAGAGGATCCAGGACTGAGGACCAAGAAATAAACACAAGTCCTGGAAAGACTATTATTCATGTTGCATCCCCCAACTCCAAGTAAAGCTATATACATTCAGAACCAAACTCTCTCCCCAGCAACCCTCTACCCCATGGGTGACAAAGGGTACCACCAGCTATCTTGCCACACAACTGGACACCATGTGCCATCTGTGACTGGTCAGTCAGCTTCACACACAATGCCCATTCCCAACGCTGCCCATTCTACTTCCTAAGCATCTCAATTCTGCCCACCCTGCCCCATGTGTTACTGTTACCATGGAGCTGTCTCCTCAAATCACGTCTGTGGGGAAAGATTCCTGGAGCTGGAGGGAAATCTAGCTTCATTCCCCTCCAGCAGGAGAATTAAGTAAAACCTTCTCTAGACCAAGAACCCAGAGAAAGGACCTACAAACAAGCTGAGGGCCAGCCACACTCATGTGGGGCTCATCTCAGAGTCAAAACAGAGTAAGGAAGAGTCACCAAAGACCCAGCTTCTCTCTCCATATCTGAGCGAACAGAACACATCCCATTAGAAACTGTGCTTCAGAGCGGCATTTCTCCCTGTTCACATCTCCAACAAGGCATGCAGCATTTTAAACCTAGTAGAATGTGTTTAGCTACAGGAAAAGCAAACAACTGTCCCTTCTCTGACGCAATTCTACAATCCAAACCCCTACATTACACTAGCAAAAGGGAACAACACAGTACAATCTTAAAACCAATGTCCCAAAGCATTTGTCTAGTTTCTGTGACACGTGGTCTTACCTGTGGCCACTAGGTGGCAATCGACCACACCAGAGTAGGTACAAGGAGCCAACCTTAAAGACAGCGCTGGCTAAGGAAGGATGCTGCTCTGTGGATGAAGAGGCACCCATCAGAGGAAGAAAGTGTCCCAAGGACGCTCAAAGAGCAACGGAGGGAGGGTCACGGCTTCCTGTGGGAAGAACTCGTAACACCTTCAGAGAATCCCATTTATCTAAAATATTCAAGCAGGAG